ATGACTCAAATTTGAATATGTTGTACAGTTTTAGCCCCTCTAACAGGTTGTTTTTGTCACGAGTGTGTAGCACTCTCCTAAAGGCTGTTACGAGCTCACAAAGGTGGTTGAAGTCCCCTCTTATCAAACGTGGCCCCTTGTGAGTTATGAGGTATATATTTGTCAAATTTGACTACACTGCATTATTACAAACCCTGAGTCATCCTGTCTTGGTCCCATGGTTCTGGTTGGTTCCTGTGGTTAATCACATAGGTTTTTGTTGAGACACCGAATCCTGAATTTTTGCTTGGAGTATAACAGAACCCCCCCCCCCCACACACACACACACACACACACTTTTTTTTGCTTAAAAGGGATGTAACCCTTGTGTATAATGTCCTGTTACATCTCAATAATTCAAGTAGAAAAACAAAAACAGAACAAAAAACAAAGCTGAGTCTGCCCTCTGGACGAGTTTTTCTTTGTTGAAAAGTTTTGTCTCTCCTCCAAGAGACTTCTTCATTCAGAAGAGTTCCAGGTAAACTCAGCCTTATAAGTAGTGCCTCCATGGCGGACAAACAAGTTTAATAATGAAAATCCAAACTGGTTGTTCATGTGCAAAAGAGGACATTAGTCTAATGACTGATTGTTGGTACCCTGATTATCCCTATTGTTCACAGAGGGTTGAGTCATTCTTGCAATAGCAGCACTGTTGGAGGAGGACAACTGGACATGAAGGCCTACCTCTGTTTAATGGTGGATGTTTTTTCTTCACAAAAATGGCTTCCTTTACTCCTCTCTCAAACCAACGTTCCTCTCTATAAAGGATGAGAACATCTTCATCCCTGAAAGAGTGGCCGCTGGCCTGTAGATGAGTGTAAACTGCAGAGTTCTGACCTGTAGATGAGTGTAAACTGCAGAGTTCTGACCTGTAGATGAGTGTAAACTGCAGAGCTCTGGCCTGATGATGTAGTTCTTCTGTGCTGGCTCATTCATTTGAACAGTGGCAGCTTTGTTTTCCTGATGTATAACTGATGACAGTCCTCCTGACACTTAACATCATACACAACATTACTGTGTTTGTGCCGGGGCACCGGATCTTTGTTTCCAGTTTCCAAGAAAGCCAACCTGCCATTTTTCACATTTTCACATCCTCTCATGTGAACTTTATATATTTACCCAGAGTTGATGTGATCAGTGAAACACTGGACTTCCTGGGATTTAATTTTAACCCAAGTGTCATCGACATACCTGAACCAATGGCTCGGTGGTGACAAGAGACATGCTAAACAAGCTAGACGCGCCACGAGGCCCCCAGACACGCGTCCACCATAGACTTTGCATACGCTCCTGCTGCTCGATGTGAACCCAGCTTAACTCCTCATCTAACAAGCCTGTGCTATTCATGACGTATTCTACAGCAGGAAGACAGAGTGAGAAATCATGATGATTTATCCCCCATGACACAATATTTCAGTTACATACAAGAAAATATTGAAATTTATTGTGGTGGTAAATTAACAAAAGCTCTGGTGTTTGATACACCCCCCCCCCCCCCCAACTATATGGATGATTTTTGGGGTTAAAATTTTTACACTATGCACGCATAAATACGATAATATCAACTGTTAATATCAGAAGGTGATTCTTCAACAACCTTTCTGAAATTCTCTTTGGGCTTTTGGTTTTGGTGCATCTCCGGGATTTTCTGTGGACCCCCCCATGAAAATGTTCTGGAGGTACCACTGTGTAGCAGACAGAGTACGTGGCATCTATTATTTTCTCAACTGCAGATTATCAGCTCCACCGTTCTCCAGGAAAAACAAGAATTTCAAGAACATTTTTGATTTTCTTGGCTCGGTGCCTGCCTGTGGCACGCTGGCTTAATTTGACCTTTCGTCTGATCGCGGCACATTTGCATAAAACATGAAGAAAAGTAGTACACATGACGGTCCCCTTTGGCCGAGCGCTCGCAGGTACTGTCCCCAGTCCCAGTGAGGGGCAGTCAAGCTGCCTCTGCTCTGCTCTGTTTGTTTTATGGAGCAGGAGTGAAACCACTCAGAGGTCAGCTAGCTGCGAGAAAAAAAAATCTGTGCTGAATCTCATTGACAAAAAGAGGTCATTATTGTGCATCAGCACGAGCGAGATCAAATGCTCTGAATCAGATACAAAGCAGCAGGACAGCCGATCCTTTTGTCGACTCTGTGATGCAGAAAAGACAAAAAATAAATAAATAAATAAATAAAAAAGGCCAGAACATCTTCTGTCTCTACACATGGCATCACGAGAACTCCATTCACACATGCTGAATTAATTTGAGGGCGTCATTATGCAAGTACAGTACAAATTTTTCAAGAGCAAGTGAAACTATTTTTAGCTACCACAGGCCCTAAGAGCCAAGTGTGGCTAATGGTGTCATTTGTATTGTTAATGATAATGCACTGTTTGTTCCATTTGGTTTTGCACAGGTGCAACGAAGGCAGCCATGTGAGGAGGCCTTTGAGTCGGTCTGAGCACTGCTAGAATCCATTCCACAAGGCCACGGCTCCCTCTAGTGGATCAGAAACTCAGTCAGGAACCAAGGTTAGAAGATGAGCTTAGTTTTTGTGCTTTAGTCCAGGAAATAGGATCAAGGAGTTTCATTGTGACAGGAAGACACTAAAGCAAACAGCTTGTGCAACTGCAGCAGAGATGTTTGAAATATTCGGTTACTAATTAACCTTCAGGCTCATCAGCCACGATCAATATAGTGTGGGCTTTTTTTTTTAAATTGAGATGAAGCAATTATCAGACTGTATTCATCTCGTTAATGAAACAATGTTCCAAAATGCCTGCAGCAAAACTGTTAATTGAGTTCTATTTTCTGAGACAGGAAGCCTCTCCTTGTGTCCGTGACTGCAGAGCTTCAAATGTGGGTTGGTGGGGGAGGTGGGGCTGCTCATCTGAGTGGACACAGGAACAGGCTGTGGGCTGGTGGAGTGTGCTCTGCCCTCCCCATGTTTACTCCCTCATCAGAGCAGAGGTAAAAGAAGATCTGGCTTCAGCCTTTCTGCACAATTTCACTGGTTTAGTTCTCTCTATTGAGGAGCATTTATTGTAGTCCTTGTTTGTGACACTGCACTAGTTGCACATTGTGTTGTAATAGTTCAACAAACTTTTGCTTTTCTCATATGTAATGCATACTAAAGTTTATATTGCTATCCATCCATCCATCTACCCATCCATCCATCCATCCATCCATCCATCCATCCATCCATCCATCCATCCATCCATCCATCCATCCATCCATCCATCCATCCATCCTCTTCTGCTTGTTCCAGAGATGGGTCTCAGGAGCAGCAGCTTCAGCAGGTAGGCCCAGACCTTTCTTTCCCCTTCCAGCTCTTCTGGGAAGATTGTTCCCAGACCAGCCAAGTGGAATAGTCTCTCCAGTGTGTCCTGGGCCTTCCCCAGGGTTTCCTCTCCTGGAGAGCTGAACTTCTCTTGAGCAGAAAACTGGATTTTGGCCACCTGTATCCTTGGGTGGGTAATACTATATGGGGACCGTTTTTGGCATACACACCTACTTGTGGGGACCAAAGCCCCATGGTACCATTGGTGGGTTGGGGTTAAGTTAAGGACTAAGATGTGAATTGAGTTTAGGTTAGTTTTAGGGTCAGGTAGGTACCTGTGAGGTTAGGTTTAGGGTAAGGGGTCAGGGTTAGGCTGTAGAAATGAATGGAAGTCAATGGAATGTCCCCATAAAAATAGTTGTACTAGACTGTTCAGTCTCATTCTTTCAGTCACTAAGGTTAGAGATAACAGTTGCCCTTCAGTGAGATTTGGGGGTTGATTCCACCAACATTTAGTTTCATGTCCAAGTTTCTCTGGGCAAGACACTGAACCTTCATTATATCTGATGTGTGTCCAATCAGTGAATGAAAGCACTGATTAGTCTCTATACAGGGTGTATCAGAAAAAGTGATACTCAGAAAAATCGCCATAAAATTAACATAGATAATAATTTTGAAAATGTGGGCATAACCTTTGGTAGAGGGGATTATTCTGCTTCGAATGACACCAAAATCTTAATCTTAGTCCACAGCCACTACACATGCGTTTGTTATCCCTTAGCTGTGATCCACTTGTTTCGACGTTAGGACATGAAAGGGTTAATTATTTTAAAAAATGCCTTGGCATGCATGTAAAATATCATCTAAACTTTTAATTTTATGTGAAAGGTCGTATTTTAACCCTCACATTTCCTTGTGCAAAGGACATGAATTTTGTGAATTTCCAACTGTTCCTGCTCACTGGAGCGTGAAGCGTAAACTAAGATTTTGGTGTCATTCGAAGCAGAATGATCCCCTCTACCAAAGTTTACGCCCACATTTTCTAAATTATTATCTATGTTAATTTATGGCGATTTTTCTGAGAGTATCAGTCTTTCTGATACACCCTGTAGAGTTGATTTATCTAGATTAGCTTTGTAGAGAGACACAGTAGAGTGCTGTGTGGATGCGTAAATGAGGGTACAGGTTGTAGTGTAAAGTGTTCTGAGTATCCTGGTTGGATGGAAAGGTGATATATAAGTACAGTCCATTTAGTATTTATTACCCAAAGTTTGTTACAAAAGATAAGTGTAGGAATAGACCGACCAGTAAAGAGAGCATTTCACCTCAGCTCCTTCTTTACCACAATGGACAGGCACAGATCTTCCCTCCATTTAAAGAACCTCATTCTCAACCTGATTTAAAGGTTTTATCTTTATGCAGCTCTGGCAAAATTGATTTAGTGTGGGAAGAAGCAGAAATTATTCATTTGACTCTAAAAGTTGTAGACCTCTGCACTCATTCAACAAAGACTAATGTGTCTAAAATAGTTACTAGTAAAAACAAAGTGTCAAGTCAATGACTGGTCAAATTTTTAGTGTTTACAAGTTGACAACTTATATGTTTGTTGTATTTTTGTTTTGTCTTTCTTCTTTTTAACACGTATGAGGTTGTTTTTATGCTTACTGATTTATATGTATGACACAGTCGTTTCAATGGTTTATTAATGCATCAAATAATTTCCTAAATAAAAGCTCAAGAATAAAAACAGAGACCCTGAGTACAAACACACGACTGTTCACTGCCATGAAAGGTGAGTGATCAAGTATATCTGTCAGTTCTGGAAAGATTGAACTCAGACTTTGCATCAGCTGATAAGATATCCACTAAGCATATGCTGAACACTTGACATGTTAGCAAAATATCTCATGAACCACTGGACGGACTTAAATGCAACTCTCAGTAGTAACTGTTGGACATACATTTACAACTTTTGGTGCGAACTCAATCCAAGATGGCTGCTACGGCTTTTTGACACAAAATGTTTAGAACTTGATACAGATACTGAGCTAAAATTAGGTGAGGTAGTAGCTGAGAGTCATGTATGCCTTCCTCCACAAAATGCCTATAATTTGATGTAACAAACTCTAGTTTTACAAAATTAAAAGAATAAGTTTTACACAGATGGGTAGCCTATGCTCTGAAATTAAAGCAGAATGGGTCTTTAATTTTATATCTGTCATTTGGTTCCACCATTATTTTTCAGTTTCATCTATTATAGAACAAGAAAGCAAAATGTCTTTAACAGTTATTTTTAGTGAAGAACAGAAGCAAAGTACGAGAAAACCAAGGCATTCTCCATTTTCAAAACATGCACCTTTTTAATCCACCACATATCCAGATGTAAGGTTTAGGCTGTTGTATTACAGCTAAATACACTTAAGTATTTTAATCGTATGCAGCTTGTGTTATGGTGGAGAACGGAGAAATCAGAAAAGCTACAGATTAGTACAACAGCTTGTTTGGCCAACCAACACGGGGTGTTAAATTAATCTCATAAAGTAAAAGAAATCTAATGCTTTTATGGAGCTCCATGTGTTCTGTGTTTTTATCACGTAATACATATTGTCTGGTTTTTACAGTCTCATTCTGTTTTATGGCAGATAAAATAAAGCAGATCTGGCTTTTTAAATATGTGCACATTAGCCATCTGTTTGGGTGGGATGGTCCAATAAAAGTGAGGAGAATGTGGGAAAAGCCATAGTCCAGCTAAATTTTGGTGTTTCAACCTGAACAAGTCCATCATTACTGCCCAACACTGAACACGAAAGAGCAATAATGTTGTTGTTCATGACTGTGTCCGTTTGTACCATTAGCAAAGCACACATCATTGAACGGATTTTAATGAAAATGTCACCCAGCCAGTGTTACAGGTACTGAGCTAAAATTTGTTGTATTAGCTGAAACTGATCCCCTACTTATAATCTGAGAGCTCATTCTTAAAGATCTGTGTTTCAAATTTTGCCATCAACTGTTCAAGTCAATCTCTCGTGAACTACTGGACAGATTTTTAGGAAACTTTCAGAGTGTAATCACTGCATCTCCGTCTAGAATGGATTAACATTTGGTGTAAATCGAGCACAAGATGGCTGCTACAGCTAATCAATCTTGGCTAGCCAAAAATGGCAAAAACTCAGTCAGTTTTACAGATATTGCACTAAAACTTGGTGTGGTAGTAGCTGAACACCATCCCTAACACATATTCTGAGGGCAACACCTTGACATCATATCTTAAACACAACAGGACAAATTGAAATGAAGCTTTCAGAAAGTACTGGCTCTACATCTGCAAAGTTTTTTTTATTGGAGTTAATCAAATTTAAGATGGCTGCCACAGCTAATCAACCTTAGCCACCACAAAAATTGCTACAACTCAGTTTTACAAATATTTGGCTAAAATTTGGTGTCTGATGTTAACAGTTGTGTACAACACAAACTCTACAGATCAGAATTGTGCACAGTGTTACTTGTAAAGTTTAACATGTTGGTGTAGATCAGGGGTCAAACCTGGTCTTTGAGCATTGCTATCCTGCATGTTTTACTTGTTTCTCTGTTCAAACACACCTAATTTGAATGATGTGTGATTATCATCCAGGATGTGGTAAATCTGGAAATAATAAAATAAATAAAATACAAATAAAACAACTGGACTTCTATTCTGTATATGATGTTTCACTTCTCATCTGGGGGTCTTTCCTAATATAAAATTGCAGTTTTGAATTAAGTCCACGAATGGAAAAAGAAAATGTCTTCAGTTACAAAGTAAATGTCAAGTTGTTTTGTTTTTCGATTTTAATTTCTATTCTTATTTTTCAAAATTTAACCAAAAGGTTAGAACTTCATTTCACAACAAAAAAATGATCTTGGTCTAAAACTGACATGAAAGGTGATGATATATGATATTCAGAAAATATCTACCAAAGTCCTCAAACTTTATGAAAATTTTAAATTATTCAAATATACAAACTTATCCTCATAAGAGATAGCTAAAAATATTTAAAAAGCAAAACGAGGATCGATGAAGCAAGACATTTCAGTCGTGCTTTTATGATCATAGGAATGTGAGAAGTGGTAAGTTTGTGAAAAAACACTGAGATGTGTGAAAAATAAGACGGTGGGCTCACGGGACCACAGTCCAATAACAATAAAGGCACTGTCAGTCTTTCTCTGCCTGAAGTAACCCTGTATTTACACTTTAGTCCATTTTGGTTAGTCCGATTCAAGCTTGTGGTCCCGTCACAGACGAAGAACAGCAGCAAGCATCACTATTTCACTAAGAAAATACTGACAAACCATGTTATATATGTAAAAAAAAATCAAGATCAACCTGGTGTGAGAAAATAAAAATACAAGTGATGCACAAATAAAAAAAAAAATGCCACAACCCAATTGATTTTCTTCATTTGGTCCAAAAACCTGTTATCTGTAAGTCATCACCCTGTGAACCAATGCAGCCTGGACTGTCAGAAATATGTAAACAAGTACTGGTTCAATCCAAAGTCTGGTGTGCAAAATGAAAAACACAAAACAGATGAACTAATTTTTCTTTCTCCAGAAAGTCACAGTTGAACACAGCTTCAGACTGGTTGAACTAGTTTGTTTCTTTTTTTCTCTAATGATTAGCTAAACTCATTTTTATAGTACAGCTCAATGGTTTAGTTTTCCTAACAGCATCATCAGCATAAAAAAGTCATCTTGGAAATGTTTTTAAATTTTTTTTCTCCCAGTGTGTACAACTAGTAAGAGTTCTTGTGCGTATCATTTGGGGTAGATCTTTTCATAGAAGAAGCTCTGCGCCAGCACGTACAGTTCGCCGTCCTTTTCTCTGACGGCGTGAGCACGGACAAACTGGAACTGTTCTAAAGCGAACTCGTAAAACTCGTTTTCCATTTTCCAGATGTTGGACTGCTGCAGCTTGGCTATCGTCTCTTTGGTGGGGGGCTTCTTCTCGGTGGTCTTCCTCAGATGGGATCTTTTTCCTAAGAACAACAAAACAAAATAAAATAAAACCTAGGGATAATTTAGAGCTATAAAATTCCTTAACATGCATGTTTTTGTCTGCAGGAAGATACTAGGAGTACCCGGAGCAAAGCCACTCATGCAAACTCTACCCACAAAGGTCCCGGGATATGAAGTGATCCTGCAACCTTCTTGTTGGGATTGGACAGCTCTACAAACTGTATCACCCACCTTATGCTCACAAATGGGCTAATTTTATAAATTGAAAACTATAGCACAGAAAGTGCTCAACAACACTTGTGCTCATTCTAAATTTAAATGCTCAATGACCGTTGAAGAATCGGTTTCTTCACTGGTCCCTTTAACACGTGGAGTCCCTCAGGGATCTATTCTTGGGTCTTTTTTTTTTCTTTCACTTGCATGCTCTATTTTGGCTCCATCTTCAGAAAAGGGTTCCAACATTTCTATGGGGATGATGCTCCTATCTACCTTCGGTTGAAGCATAATTGTTCTTTTCTATTTAAACCACCATTTGTCTCACTTTGATCAATTCTTGGATGGCTTCAAAGTTCTCCTGTGTATTTGCCAGCTCTTCTCCAGCCTTATGTGCAATCCAGACCCCTTGGTTCTAATCATAATTTGCTTTTAGTTGTTCCGAGGTCCAGAGATAATTGGGTCTTTTCAGCCGTAGGTCCTAATCTGCAGAACAAACTGCCCCTACAAATCAGACAAGCTTTAACTTTCAATGATTTCTGTTGTTTCGTATTGTTCAGGCACTGTTCATTGAATTATTTTTTGTGCTGGGAAAAGAAAAATTGTATGTGGTTTCTGGGCAGAATTTCCTCTAATAAAAGAAGTTTAGTATCTGTCTCCAATCCAGAGATCACTGAAACAAATGAGATCACAAGCCCAGATAGATGGATAGATCAATCAGAATTGGAGTTGCAGCTCATTTTCTTTGAACTGTCTTAAGAGTTTATACAACCCAGTCATTTTTAGTGCTCAAGGCCATTCTCTCCATCTTATTTATTTTCATCTTGTTCACCATTCTGAGACGAAATGTAAAATCTTGTGCGAATCTTGAGATTCGAATTCTAAAAAAAAAAAAAAAACATGGTGGTCATTGGTGGGAGAACGAGTGTGACTGGGAAAGTCTGAGAGCTGCTAAAGGTGGGCATTAAACAAATTTAAACCATTTATTTTTCACTTTGACTGTAAGATATTTTCCAATACATTTTTCAGATTCTAGATGCTAATACTAGAAAGTAGTTTTAACATTGGTCCTGTCTGAACAGTCCGGTTTCCTATGATGGCGAGCTACCTTAGGCCTCAGGTCCAAAGAATCTGTGATTCTGTGATGAACTGTTTATTTGAAGTCAACTGGACTACTGCCTCGTGTGGGTCTCATGAACTGTGGGACCAATATCCACATTTGGACTGAGTCTGTTAATTTCATCTGTTTATTGAAAAATTTTAGGGTTTATTGAAATGATAAACTGATTCATACATTGGTGACAGATTTACAAATTGTATTGTAAAAAGGTTATTGATATTTAATACAAATCATATTATGCACAGTTCTGTTTTTTTCCGCTCGACATCAGTGTTGAGTTGAGTGAAGTAGAGACGTTCTTTTTTTTTGTTAACGGTGGACAGAAAAAAAAGATGCATCCCCTTACTTTACCTTACATTTAGCATCCACATCATGCTACATTTAACCTATTCTACCTGAACCTCTTATTGAAAATGTCAACAGGTGGATATGATGCTGTTGCAGAATTATCTGTGGCTCTTTCAAAACAACAGTTCAAAAAATAAAAAAATGGACTTCTGAATACAGGATTTCACTTCAAGGGTGTAAAGGTGACATGACAAAGGTGTGTTCAGTGGTGTACAGCAGTGAAAACCATTGTTTTGATGGAAGCATGTTTTACTGTGGAGATGTGGCGTTACCTGTTCTGTAGAGCTCTGTGGCTCCTTTAAAGAAGCGCGGCAGTGCTGCCTCCAAGATCATGATGAAGTCCTCCAGCTCCTCAGTTACTCCGACTAACAGATATTCATTCACCAGATTGTATTTGGCCTGTTCCAGAGCCCATTTACTTCCTGCATTCCTGCACACAAATATGACTTAATGTGAGTTGGTGTTTTGAATCAGAGTCTTTGTTTTTTTTTTTTTTTCCGTAACGACCAAATCACTTCTGCTCAATTACGGTAAGTAAATCTTCCATTAAAAACTAAGCTGACATTATTCAGAAACTATTTTATATTGACTGGCTGGACATTTAACTAAATGATATTCTGTTTTTTAAAGAAATTTTAAACATGTTCACAACTATAAAATTATTACCAATAACTTGTGCTTTGTCACATCCCACCACTGGTTATTGGTTGTTTGGTGTTTCACTTTTCAAGTCAGCTGACCTCAAATCAGGTGGTGATAATGGTCTAAGAGGTTGTCAATTTAAAACAAAATTTAAGTGACTTTTAAGCAGGAACTCTGTGCCATCGGTTTGTAGTTTGAGTATAATGAATCAAGTTCAATTATTGAATTATCAAAGTTTAGTTATCAAACAAGTGTCCAAGATGTTCTCTCCTTTTACTCATACTTCTGATCTTTTTGGTGCCACCTTTTGATAAGGAGTTTTATCGTGGAACCCACCCACACACATCCATCCATAAATGTTTGATTTAATATGCAACACTGTAAAAATGTTGTATCTTTGCTCAAATGTATCAGAATATCATACTTGGCCCTGGCCCGCTCATGTCAATATTTGCATCAGATCTGAGAGAAGTAGGTTTCTTTGACTGGAGTCTTTGTGGCCTTTGACTATGATAGTGTGAGAGGAAGTGTGGCTCACTCACCAGCACTCCGAATGATGACCACAGAAGAAAGGGATCTGGAGCCAGAGTTTCTCAGGAGCACAGTCAGACCCCCCTGAGGAGACGCACTCATCGAAAGTCTGAAACACAACAGCAGTTAAATGTTACCCCAAATAAAACAAAGGCAAAAACATAAAAAGTTCAGACAGCGAACCTTCTTGTCTCCCTGTTTTCTCCGTCGAAGGCCCGGTCTGTAGTCGTCTCCGAAGCGAAGGAAGTAGTAGTAGGACACGAGGCGCTCTATAGGATCCCGTACAACATTTATGTACATTGGCTTTCCCTTCACTCCATACCTGAACAAAAACAAAACATAGTAAAATATTCTGTAAACTGGTTTTATGACAAGATAAAGGCTCAGTCTCAGTTGCAGCTTGGTGCGGACGTATGTATGCAGTGAATCACCATATTTATTGTACTCTGACACCAGCTGCACAATGAGCGGGTGAAAGGATCAAGGAGAAGCAAACCAAGAGGAGCTCCCTCTTTCTGAGAAACACTTAGACCATTAGAATAATTACCTGTGATCACTGAGATGATAGTGTCAGAGGAGATAAGGACAACAATGCTATTAATCAACACTAAAGCACAAGTTGGCAATCAATACATGACCTTCCTTTATCTGCTCCACTAACTGCGTGTAACTAATCTGGATATTAATGGTATTACAGGAAATGAAAGGCCTTACTTTGAGAAGTCCAGATAAGCTACGTGGCCGTGGTAAAAGCCAGGCTTCATCTCTCGCCACGTGGTGACGTTCTGAACAAAGCGCACCTGCAGACGGAGATAATGTCGGTTTATTGTGGAGCTGCGGGAAAACATGGCAACGCTAAAATGTTCAAGGAGTTCTGTGTGCGGGTTCATGCCTTCATCTTACAGAAAAAAAGTAAGAGTTCAAACAAAATGTGAGAAACAAACAAATGTAACAAAACTAGGCTGAGGGCCATGAAGTGACAGCAAACCCTCATCTGTGTTTGATCGTGTTCACCGGCTGCAGGAGGTGACTGTGGGGCTATTGTGAGATGGCAGACAGGATATTACCTTGGCACTAGCAGCCAGACGTAACAATAGTTTTTGCTTTGGGGCATTTACGCTGTGTGACCACAGCTCAGTGTAGCAGGCAGCAAATATCATCAGCTTTTATTATGTCAAGTGTGGAAACAAATACACAGAGGAGATAAAAACAGATTACAACAAAACACCTACAGAAGAAAGTAATGTAGAGTGATGCAGTCCGCTGATTCACATGTGCTGGTTACGGGCCAAAAACCACAGTCGTGTGCCAACAAAAGCAGAGAAGAACTTTTTGGGAAAACATCGACGACAAAAAAACAAACTGAATGCTGGTGGATCTATCTTTAAAGGATATTTCAGGTTGATCCACACTGGAAAACAATGTTGCTAGAGTCTTGGTTTGTTTGTTTGTTCAGATACAACTTTTAAGCCATGCTGTAAGTTTCATCGGAGAGAAAAGTCTTTTTTTTTCAAAATAAGTCAAACAATTCAGTCATCTTTACGGGGACAGTGATTGGGGCGACAGGAGAAAGGGGTTTGTCCTGCATCCGGCGAGTTTCCAGTTCGAACCCCGTCTCAGTCTTTAGGCACTTCACCCGCCTTGACTGCTGGTGGTGGTCAGAGGGTCCGGTGGCACCAGTGTATTAATTTACCACCATCAGTGTGTAAATGGGTGAATGAATGGGCTGAAAGACTGTAGTGTAAATCACTTTATATAAGTTCAGCCATTTACCATATTTTTCTGCTCATGATTAGTCTTTATTTCTGTAAAATGATAGATAGACATATGATCAATATTAATAGAAAATGCGTCCAATAGAACATTTATAATTTCACTGAACTCCGATCTAGAACCGCATGGCATTCTGGGGAGTGTAGGCAGAAGAAAGGCTTTAGCTGCTCGCCCCCTCACGGCCAAGCTAAGTAAGGGTTGTGGTTCTACGCTCTTCTGTCAGCTGCAACAACCTGTTGAGTAACGTGCAATATTAGTTTCATGTTTCACCACTGTGCCTCAGAACTGTTTAAAAATAAAAAAGAACAACATGGAATGAAAGGAGAAAATGAGGTAACAGCTCGAGAGAAAATTGATCACGTCACTTGTTTGGCAGTGTCAGTCTTTTTTCTCCTGTTCCATATTTCAAATAGATAAAACAAAATAAAACAAAACAAAACTAACAAACAAACAAAAAACGTGACAATACTTATTGATATAAATGGATATGAAACACTGATATCGTGATACAATTTTTAGCCATATCGCCCAGCCCTAGTCAAAAGTTTTGAGAAACTCATTGCTTTTGGGTGGGTGAAGGGAAACTGTTCACTGAGCAGCAGACGTATACTTCACTAAATGGTTTGCGGTTTCCTCTAAATAGCCTCTTATCCCTCTTGTGCTTTCTCTGACATTAAAACACTTTACAGCAAACTATAAAGTTATCCTACATCAAAACAAAGGAGTTCTGGACTGTCACTAGATATTTGGGTAGAAAACCTGCCGTGTCATAGGAACATAAAAGCGGTCTCTGGAGTTGCTGGTGTCCTTTCAATGTTTATTGGAGCAAATGAACAAAGAAACAAACACACAAAAAAATCATGTTTACATAGAACCACCGCAGTAATGTGCAAGGGTTGCCAGATGGGACATGGTAAACTTGTACTGTCGCTATAAAATGATTGTATTTTGACCCAAACTGTCATTAGTCCTGAGTGAGTGTGTTGTAACATGATGTGTGTGTTGTGTTTGGTGAAAATCTTACAAAAAAGAAGAGGCAAAAGGCAAATTTTTGTTTTTATCTGGCAACCCACTCATGCAATCATGCACTGATCATGGAGTGTCTGCACATGTCTGAATTAGTGAATAAACTAACATCCCTTCAAATCCAAAATGTTTTTTGATTTTGCTCCGACATGCTAAAACACTCTGCTGTCTGGAATATATTGTTACTCCTGTTAGTTTAGAAGAAACTTTAGTCTGTAGTCGCCTGTGTGCGCCTGTACGCTTTCACACCTCTTCAGATAGGTGTAAACAAAAGCTTCGACTCTGAGACCTGGTTTATAGACGTACCGGTGTCAGAGACTCCGATCACCGGTGACATGTAAGCGGTGCGCAGCAGTTCCTACCTGGTCCTGTAAAGACATGACGGGGTTGTTTTTGGTCGTGTTGATGTGCAGGACGTGGAACAGATTCTTGCCGCAGAGGTCATAGGCGATGTTAGTGAAGGATGTGCTGGCTGTTTTTGGAACTCGGTTGTAGATGATGACCATGTCGTTGTTTTCAGCCAGAGGGGCCAGCTCCCGCACCCCGCCATCTTCAGTGTGACGCAGCTCTACTTCAGCCACCTCGTGTCTGGCAATGGTGCGTTCTGAATAAGACAGGAAACGTATCTCAAACACTTGCCTGATTTTAACACTTTGATGAGTTAAGAGATCAGTTCTTTGTGTAGCTTTCTACACTGTGCCAGTGTATTATTTCACTTTTTTATTTATGTTACAGTGAAAGTTTTTTGGTGGCCAGTTTGCTTAATTTTAAGGTTTCTGTGAAAAAACTCAACCACTGCTTACCTTTACAGAACACAATCAAGTTGCTAATTTTATTTCATGCTATATGGACATTTAATCCCAATAAAACACAAATCTAACAGAACTGTCTTTTGGTATTTGAAGGTTTCCATCATGTCTGAGTTCACGTCCTTAGACTTTAGAAATTAATTCAACCACAATAATTACAACAAACTGTATTCAGCACAAGAATACAGAAAAGTTTTATTCAGAATAAAAGTCCGGACATGCGCAGTGTTGTAAACGTTCAGCTCTACTTCAGTGTTACAAACGTAAACAACGCTCCTCTGTGCGCTCAGGACGGACCCGTGTCAGCTTTTAATAACGGTAGAGACATCGTTACTCCTCGGTTGAGCTGCAGATGAAGCAATACGTGTTTTTTTTATTTGTATTTTTTCTGAAGCAACGTCTGCTGTTTGTTTCCTTTTTCATCTGTTAAGAGAGCGAGGAGGAAAAGTTCTGCACTGTGCAGCGCAGCTGCAGCGCTGCTGTCCCACCGGGTGAATGAAAGTCAGCAGACATGCACACAGGTCAGTTTTCTACAATCAGAATAAGATGATCCAATTAAGTGTTTACATGAACCTCATTCCGATTGTGAATCGGCATAACCCACCCTTTTCATTTGGATTAAAAATTCATTTGGATCGAGCTCAATCGGATCAGAATAATCGGAACGGGCTGTTTACACGACGTATTTTTATTCCGAACGGCTGTTTAATCCGATTACTTTTGTCCATGTAAACGTAGCAATTGTGAGCAACAGACAGAGTTTTATGTCACGGGGGGAGTGCCGAGCTCGCTCGAGGCGATAGACGCATGCGCTATATGCGTAACGTGAAAGCTGACTACAGTTGGAAAAAAGAGCGCACAAGACACTTAATTTGGCTTAAAATACAGACATTCTGACAAATAAGTAACTGTTTGTAACCTTACCTCAGCTTAGAAGGCAGAGGGTGTCGGTCTTTTCTGCTCAGATTCAGCTATCGGAGCATGAAGCTAATGTTTACTCACAATGCTAATGCTCTCTTACTCTCTGGCGCTCAAGCAGTAGAGGAGCCAAATGGCTGGCTCACTGCTGCCAACTAGTGGTCAGAGGCTGAACTACAACACAAAAATGAATGGCTGGCAGGAAAGTTGACATTTTAAACCTTAATAAAAAAAAATCGATGCAGGGCTTTAGAATATCGATACAGTATCGGGAAATGAAATATCGCGATATTTCAGTGTATCGATRTTTTCTTACACCCCTAGTCAACCTCTGATTACAGGGCTTTACTCCACTTATGCAGCCAACGCTTCTCTGGAATGATCGGAAAAAAAAATTAATACTCGGCAAAATGAAATATAACACCTTGGATGAAAATCTTGGCATTTTAAAGACCTTTTTAGGCCTAAAATCTATTTGGATTTTCAAATTTTAGACTTTTTTTAGATGTTTTAAGACCCTATAGGAAGCCTGCTATTTCAGTAATTTCGAAGTGCCACAAAATTGAAAATCTAGTGGTGTATATTGACCCATTAACTGTTTAATTGCTTACTATAACACTGAGATTTGTATGCTATTGGTTAAAATTCTAAAGACAAAAACACGTAAATAAAAGCTTTCATTTCAAGATATGATGCTTCCTTCCTGCATGCGACCAATTTTAGGCCAAAACAGACAGACCTGTCTTTGCACAGAGTAAAATTGACTCAAAATATGAGAAAGAACTCCTAAAAGTCCTAAAAAAATCTTCCTGAAGTTTTGGGCAGACAGTAACTATTATACATCTAAACTGCAACACTAAGGTACAACAGATCAAAAAGTATTCAACCATGGACATCTTATGTAAGATAGTAGCCTGGCCCTTGCCTTCCTATGCAACTCCGCTCAATTCTAGTTTCCCTTCACTGCTCCATCTGGGACTTCTCCCATTGAGATGGATTTCGCTGGCAGATTTTTAGCCGGGCCAATCAGAGAACAGAACGTCAATTTTCTGTGCAGTGTCTGCTTGTAGTTTATTTTACCAGGACCAATCAGCAAACAGAAGGAGGAGTTTTGAATGACGTCGATGTTCTGCGCAGTGTCTGCTAGTTATTTTAGCATAAGGCAGTGGAGGAAGTGAATGAAGCCAGTATGTGTTGATAAGGCTTCCAAATTAAAATAAATTTGTCTGACAAAGCAGCAGCTCTCATTTACAGTCATCTCATTTGGTTCGGTACTTCTCTCCTCTCAGTAGGGTTGTTTACAGCGCACACAATTTCCGGTTAGCTTCTTAGCTTAGCCTCCTTCACAGCGACATAGGTCACAGCCAACTGATCCAATCATTTTAAACTTCAGCAGAGGCCACGCCTTCTGCAAGAAACGCTTCTCTATGCAGCAAGTCCAGACCCTTGTACGAAGCAAAGTGAAGGACAGGGTCTGGTTTTAACCAGGCTAGTAAGATTTTAATTATAAAGAAAAATCCTACTGCAACTGAATTGGCTTCAAGTTAAGAAAACTTAAACTGTATGTCATAATGTTAACTCATTATTAGTAAAGAGAACTTCTCAAACCTATTAAGAGCATGTCATGATTGATTCACACTGACAGAGGTTCTTCTAACTTCACAAAATTCAGATTATCAACACAATGTGCCCTGGGGACTTTTTTATATGAGTATACAGCCAGTCATTGATTAGCCATGTTTCCGGTCATTACGCCTAATTTGTTATTTATTTTATCTTCTGTTCTCAGAATCAAATAACTTTTGCAAAGCTGCTTTATTTATTCACTGAACTGGGAATATTTAATTAACAGCTTTAAACTTTGCAGGCCAAATGCATAAAGTTTAGGCTGCATAAGCCCCTCGGGTCGATGAGCACAGGTTGAAACCTTCACTCTTGGCTTTATTTTTATTAGTTAAAACGAACAACTGAAATAAAAGCAGAGCAACAGCTGCCGTCTTCAGCAGCCAGATGAAGTGAACGCTCACACTCATCAACATGGGAGTCGGCCCTCCCACACAAATGCAGCAGAAGGGCCAGAGTTGATTTGCTAGCAGACATTAATTAACAAAAACAACACTGTTTCTAAAAACAGAACAGATTCCAAACATGTAATTAAAGCTTTTGATAAGAATATTGACAGAAGGCTTAATTAAAAGTGTTTCCTCCACTGCTGGGTTAATTAAAGCCAATTACAGGAGTGGGCTTGTACATTTTAGACTGACCGAAGCACTCTGCTGCCTCAACGACTCGTGTGAGTTTGCAGGAGAACTGAACTAATATTATGAACTAGTATGGACCCTAGATTTTACTAAGAACTAAAAGTACGATTGTTTACAGTAATATATACACTGTCTTTATGAAACTATAGGGTAAAAAAATTACCCTTCAATCTGAAAATAATCCACACAATATTTTTTTAATCAAAATTGGCTTGTTTTTAACAAGATTACTAAACATTCTTGGTGTGTGCATGTGAAGAGTAAAGGAGATTTTGTTTTCTTTTTTTATTTTGTCTGTATTTACTTTCAAATATTGTTTTCTTTCTAGAAGATTTATTGGCTTGACTGTCCAGGAAACGACAAGTCAGGTTGTTTGTATCAATTGGTTATGTTTAATTTCCTCTTCTTGCATCAAGCAAGAGCTCAAGCATCTCAGGGTTTTGTTCAAGAGTGAGGAAAGAATGGAGCGTGAGATTGATACCAGTCTGTTGTGGTGAAGAGGGAGCTGAGCTGTGAGGCGAAGCTCTGTGTTTACTGATCAGTCTACACTCCTACCCTCATTTATGGCCAAGCTTTGGGTAGTGACAGAAAGAACAAGATTGCAGATACAAACAGTCAAAGTCGGTTTTCTCTGCAGGGTAGCTGGACTCTCCATTAGAGATAGGGTGAGAAGTTCAGTTATTTGTAAGAGACTCGGAGTAGAGCCGCTGCTCCTCCACGTCGAGAGGAGCCAGTTGAGGTGGTTCATCTAGTAAGGATGCCTCCTGGACACCTCCCTAGGGAGGTGTTTCAGACATGTCCAACTGGGAGAGAAGACCAAGTAGGTCACTGCGGACGAGTGCGGATGAGTGGGCGTGTCCCAACGAAAGGCGATTCTAAAGCAACACACCTGATTTGACGGACTTTGTTAAAGGGACACACCTGATTTGACGGACTTTGTTAAAGGGACACACCTGATTTGACRGACTTTGTTAAAGGGACACACCTGATTTGACAGACTTTGTTAAAGGGACACACCTGATTTGACAGACTTTGTTAAAGGGACACACCTGATTTGACAGACTTTGTTAAAGGGACACACCTGATTTGACAGACTTTGTTAAAGGGACACACCTGATTTGACAGACTTTGTTAAAGGGACACACCTGATTTGACAGACTTTGTTAAAGGGACACACCTGATTTGACAGACTTTGTTAAAGGGACACACCTGACTGGACAAGCAAAAAAGGGGCGTTACTGTACTGCACCACACTTTTTCTGGAGACCCCTACTTGGATCACACTTCTCCTGGTTAGAGCTGCCACGATTAGTCGATTAGTCGACGACTAATCGATTATTAAAATAATTGATGACTAATTTAATAATCGATTAATCATTTTCTTTTTTCGTTGTTCTTTACTTTGTTTTTCTCTCCAAACTGCGTTGTCACCTTCCACTGCCACATCTGCCTTTCTGTCCTTGACACACATGCACAGTAGTGGTAACTGGGGTAGGCCGTGGACGTCACAAGACATTAT